AGGGAGTAGAGTCAAGGTTACAACAATTTATCGCTTTTTAAATCATAAATTGTTTGTTACAAGAACAAAGAACGGAATGTAGGCAAATCGCTTAAGGAGACATGCAAACAACCAGGAGGTAGAAGGTGTGAATTAGTGGACTTTTTTTGCAAAAACCTGTGAATCACAGTCCCCGAATTCACCTAAACCACATGTTTGATCTGATAACACGACAGTTCGACCGTCGATTATGACAGTGTTCACCATGTGTTTCACAGCGTGATGGTGCAGGGACGGTAACCTTGGTCCATAACAAACACATGACCAGGGTTTGACACGAAGGCAAAAAAGATGGAAGCGGCGACACAGATCCCAGCGCACGAAACCTAGGCCTCAGTGTCATGCACTCAATTATACACCACCTGCACAGAAGCTAGACTTGATCAAGATTTTAGCACAAAAACATTGTATAACAACTACCAATTGCCACAGCTGATTCGACCACCTTGCAGAAGTAGGAGGAAGGGCGTGAGATCCTTCCAACCCGGACACAGCACATAATTCCTAACTATAGGCAGTCAATAGTTCTGTCAATCGATAACGACACGGTTTTTGGCTTCACTGGATAACTCGCGTCTATGAAGAACAAACGGTCAGGTCGTGATTGTTGCGCCTTAATGTAGCACTGGTGGCACTCCCGCTAATTTATGATCCGGGACTTCCTTATAGGACACGGGCTAGTGTTGAGTTAGAAACCAGATGAAGTGTGGCATACGTAAACGGACCCCTTAACTACGTCCCCAAGGACTTATACGTCTAGCACCCGTTTTTCTTGCCGTCCAACTGAGACATGTTGAGTGCCGGAATAGAGAGAGACATAGGAGAGTAGATGGATTTAAGTTATGCTTCAAAATAAGCACGTTGATTTAGAATTCGTCAATGCTTCACAGTGGAAGATCTCGTAAACTGCAACGTCTTGTCTTGAATTTTTCACGACGTGTTAAGTCGTGACTGGTAAAACTGTCAAATGACGGTACAACTGGGCTTTCCACCGCGCCAGGGGAAAAGCTGCAATTGCTAGCTCTTCATAGGACTATTTATACAAACCTTTCTTGAAATGAAACAAGCCCAGTGTGAACAAGGGGTTGGTGCTAAAGGGATCTTAAGGCAAACAGAAAACCTTCGGAAATGAGAGTAATAGACAAACGTGCTGTCCCATCCCTGTGCCAACAATTTATCTGACTGCCGGTGTCAGAGTTCGACTAGTTTTTCGGCTCCTAAGTGACAATCAAGCATTAGAAATGACTCTATTATCAAAAAGCACAAAAACCGTATCCAGACCGTGTTTTGTACAGGCCCCTATCCCCTACCAACTGTCAGTTGTCGGGCCCAACTGACCAGTCACTGCCTACATCCAACAGCAAGAACGTTTCAAAGGTATATTAAATTAAAACAGCAAGAGCCTGAGAGCAATCCCACGCTTACCTAGTCTGCCCGGTCACGGCAGCTGCTTCGGATGAGCCGAGGACAGTAGAGGACTTGAACGCAGATTTCTTACTCTTCAGCATACTGCGCGCTTTCAGGAAGAGGGCAGAGTGACCAGTGGTCTTTCCACCGGCGCCCAGATGAAGGCTTGATGGCATTCCG